AAAAGTAACCCAAAAGGCTTTTTGCTGGTGTTTAACTTTCAGACATTTCTTAATTTTCTTTTTTAAGAAAGTAGATAATGATGAAAACGCAGGTAAACATTTTTCATAACTATTTTTTATTTTAATTTATTTTTAACTCTACTAAATGAAATATTATGAATCTGTATCAGAACTGTACATTTATTTTTGCAAATAATTAAATAATGCAAAGTTTATTTCGGAACTCCCATAGCTTTCGATATCAGCGCAAAATGAATATTGAAAACACTACCTTTAACTAATTCCAGTAACAGTTTAGTGAATGAGAAAAATATAATTAGAACATAGTTACTGTATTCAGTAAAGTTTAAGTGAAAGTTTTTCAAGTGCTAAATATAAAAACCGCACTTTCTATCAAACTTGTATGCGACAAAAATCGTAGTATTAATATCATACGCAAATAACATAAATAGTTGCATCCCTTAGAGTACAATAGTGGTGAGGGTTGTGTTCATCCCTTGTTTGCATAGAGCCCTGTCAGCCGCAGAGGCATCCTACACAACACCGCGGCTTGCATGTGGCCCGATGTAACCGCTGTGCTACTGCGGTTTTTGTCACAATTAAACATTAGAAAATATTATTGAAAAATCTCACATTAGATTAGATTAAATTCAAAAACATATAATCATTTATTTCCATGTCGCATTATTCAATTGTTTTTATTACTTTACTTTTCAATTTGTAGCAATTCTAGAATTTTGACTGAAATTAGAGAGAGAACTAATAGTATTTAGATAGTAAATATTAGAGAAATCGTTCTAATATTGTGAGAAAGTGTTTAATGTTGTTTTGTAGCGCCCTTCGTGATTGACAACGGCCCTTGGATCCTGCCGCAGCCCGCGCCCGCGCCCGTGCCACTGCCGCAGCCCAAACCCAACCCTATATGTAAGTGTATCAGAGTGTTGACAAGTTAATTGTACCCCTGAATAACTTATCATCTCATCCACCGTTGTAATAATTATGCAATTTTTTGTTGGTTTCATGAAAATGTTTATTACATTTTTATGGCGATTTTAAACAAAAAAGACTGCTGTTTGTGGTGTGATTTTATGCCGGCGGCTTGTTAATGAAATATTTAACACGTGCAGATTTAACCCCACAATAAAAATAAAATAAATGTTGGTTGTAATAACCATCAGCGTGCATTTCAAAGTAATGGGAATAATAAAATAAATTAGTTCCGACGTGGTGACAGCCGCCGCCCCGCTCGCCGCTCGCCGCACGCCGCACGGTGCAACACTTACTATTTGATAATCTCGACAAATATAGTGTTAAAGGTGAACTGAATACAATGAATTACAAAAACATTTCATAAAACATTCAGACAATAAAATGTATACAAGTTACAAGATATAGCATTATTTACAGGCCCACCCCCGATAGTCATCCCCGGGCCCCCGCGTCCGTACCCAGTGCCCGTACCGGTCCCGGGTAAACGCATCTTAGTACCGATCCCGGTCCCCGTACCATCGCCGCCGGAGAAGATTTACATCCGCGGGCCATCGGTTCCTGTGCCCGTGCCCTATGAGAAGCAAGTGCCCGTCCCGTACCCGGTCAACAGGCCGTACCCGGTGCCGTCGCCGCCGAAGATCGTAAAGGTCCCGTACCCCGTACCCGAAATCATTCCCGGACCGGAGAGAAAGATTCCTGTACCGATACCGGTGCCGTCGCCGCCCATAAAATTACCTTACCCTGTCCCGGTTCCCGGTCCTGTGAGGGATGTACCAGTACCCGTACCGGTTCCATCTCCACCAGTACCAGTTCCGTACCCAGTTAATAGATACATCACCATCCCGGGTAAAGACAGATTAGTGCCAGTACCCGTACCAGTGACACGTAAGTAAACACACTATTTCTTTTTCTTTTTCTTAATTTATTAAGTTAAGGGAACTATTCTTATTTTTTCCTTTCAGAAACCAAAATATACCCCGTGCCGGTGATAATCTACGTAGGTAAGAATCAGTATACATTTTACAAGCGAACAGAATGAATACCTGAAACCGTACTAGGTTGTAGTACTTTACTTATTTCTCGTTCACAATACCGCAACCGCATCGACATACCTTTTAGAAGTTATTGAAAAATATTAAAATAAATTATCGGTGTAAATGAAGCGTGAAAAGTGATTTCTGTAATCGAGCTGAACTATCGCTAATATTGTAGCAGTAGCAGGAGCTACATACAAATGTTCTGCTTATTTTAAGTTAATTGCTTTCATGTAGTTAGGAATGTTTCATTCAAAGTTCTCCAGACATACAGCAAACAAACGATTTATAACATTTTATGCCATGATTAGTTCATGTTTCTTTAAATAACAATTATTTTATTTCAATAGGAATTTTACCCAACTCTCTCATAAAGCGCCTTAGGCACCTTCCGGGAGTTTCAAGTAGATTACTCTGGTTGCTGGTTTATAAGTCGATAATAACAAAGACGATCGAAAACCACACATTTCGTATCTATACATATGTCACAATTCATGTATTTGTATTTCTCAACACTTTCACACAACAATACAATTATCGCTCATTAGCTATTATATAATCAAGGAACTGACGTTATAATTATTGCAAATTCCCTTTAATTTGTCGTACAGCCCCACTGTGTCGCGGCCAAAGGCCTTTGGTACCATTCCGCCTGCCCGGTTCTCCGTGCAAGATCCATGTCTGCAAGGTCAAATACAACTACGTCTACATAGAAACTTCTGACGATCCTATTTGCAGTACGTTTACGATTAATAACAATATTACTCTTTAACTAATGTGTGTATAAATAAGAAAGCAAATATGCTTATATGTTCTTACTTTGTTTTTATATTTAGACACTTCACCAGTCATCTCCCCGCCGCCGATTGCTATATGGCGTAAGTTTTAAAGCTATGGATTTCTTAAGTCCTGATTCAAAACATGATTATGAAAATCAAGATAAATATTCCAACGTATCATTTCAGCTTCATCGTCTTCAGCAAATGCAAATGCCAACGCTATAGCCAATGCTGGTGGTTGGGACTCTAAAGCTGCAGCCAATGCTCAAGCAAACGCTATTTCAAGTGGTTTGATAGGAGATTCTTCTGCTAACGCCGCAGCCAATGCCAACGAGGGTACCTTCACTGGACTAAACCTATTCGGAGGCATAGGTGAAGGAATTTCTCAAGCACAAGCCCAAGCTATAGCAAACGCTGCGACGAGAGGTGCCGGCGGTTGGTCGGATGCCAATGCCAACGCCGCCGCTGACGCTATAACGGGAGCTTACGGAGGTTTAGGCGGCATATCCAGTGCCAACGCCAACGCCGCCGCCAACGCCGCGACCGGAGGATATGGAGGCTACGGTGGCTCCTCTGCCGATGCTAGTGCTATAGCTAATGCTTTATCCGGAGCTTACGGAGGCATGGGTGGTTACTCTAGCGCCGAGGCGAACGCTATCGCAAACGCAGGAGTTGGAGGATGGGATCGTTACGGTAGTTCCAGTGCAGATGCCAATGCAAACGCGAACGCCGCCACCGGAGGAATTTCTAGCGCCGATGCCAACGCTGTCGCCAATGCAGCTACCGGAGGATGGGGGGGATACGGAGGATCTAGCGCTGACGCAAATGCTGTGGCGAATGCTGTTACAAGTGGATTTAATAGAATTGGAGGCTGGTCTGATGCTACCGCCAACGCCGCAGCAAACGCAGCCACAGGCGGATTCGGTGGAATAGGAGGTTGGTCGAATGCTGATGCAAATGCTGCAGCAAATGCTGCTACTGGTGGTTACGGAGGTATAGGTGGCTGGTCAGGTGCTGACGCCAACGCTGTAGCAAATGCAGCTACAGGCGGGTATGGCGGTGCAGGTGGCTGGTCGGACGCCGAAGCTAATGCGGCAGCGAACGCCGCCAGTGGCGGATACGGTGGCTTAGGCGGATGGGCAAATGCTGACGCTAATGCCGTAGCTAATGCTGCTACTGGAGGTTACGGAGGTTTAGGTGGCTGGTCAGGTGCTGATGCCAACGCAGCAGCTAACGCTGCTACCGGAGGTTACGGAGGTTTAGGTGGCTGGTCAGGTGCTGATGCCAACGCAGCAGCTAACGCTGCTACCGGAGGTTACGGAGGTTTAGGTGGCTGGTCAGGTGCTGATGCCAACGCAGCAGCGAATGCGGCTACAAATGCATACGGTGGATTGGGAGGCTGGTCAGGCGGAGAGGCAAATGCAGCAGCGAATGCCGCGGCGAATGCGGCGCTGGGTGGCTACGGCGGGTACGGTGGATGGGGCGGTGCCGAATCCCAGGCTCAGGCCCAATCCCAAGCTCAGACGCAAGGCTACGGAGGCTACGGCGGTAGTGAAGCTCAGTCGCAGGCACAAGCGCAGACCCAAAACCAATTAGGTGGATGGCCAGGCTTCGGCGGCTCTCAAGCTCAGTCACAGGCTCAATCCCAAGTATTAGCAGCAGGGTACAAAAGTGGCGAAGATAGACGAAAAAAGAGGCACGTCTTATAATTTATAAGGTATAGTAAAATTAAAATGACTGTAGAATTAACTATGGAGAAAAATAGCGTAGATTTTGTTCTGCCATTTAGTTATAACTATTTTACAAATGTATTTATTTCCTTACAGGTCATATAACTTCTAATTGATCTCTCAATGGACACACGGCGAACTTCTCGGTATCGATAGTTTTAGTTATATTAATCACAGCAAACTGACAAATGTACACGCTTCATACTTCTAAAAATAAATATAGTGGGATATACAAATCGGCCTCTTTTATTTGCTTCCTATTAACGTCTTTAGTTTTTCGTTATAAATAAAGAATTGAATCCGGCAGTTGCAGTTTAATAAAGAAACATAATGAAATCATTGCGTGCGGTACACATCTCCCCGACATCTGCAGCAAATTACTGTGATGGAACTAATTAAGTCGATGCGTTGCGAATCGAATACGAATCAAAAGTAATATATCATATATTAGCAATAAATCAATATGACCAACGATTTTCACGGAGAGCGATGTGTTGTTATAAATGCCGCGCGACATCTACTCGTTGCAGTTGAGAGAAAAGTTTCCTTGTACTTAATTGTTAGGACTTTGGGCAAAAAGTGGAAATTATAGTAAAATTGAGATGCAGGGGGGCGTACTCGGGAGCCTCTGCTTCCTAGCCTTCCTGTTATCTTCAGGAGTGAGCGGTTCGGGACAAAACTTTCAGGATCAAGTGCACGGTGAGTTCAGTTTATAAATCTTTTCAAAAATGAAAACATTTCGCGTTATACTTGCGCTAAAGGATGTGATATTTTTTATTCCTAAATTATTGATTTTATTACTAATAGGTGGACAAGAACAGTTCGGTAATTCTGAAGCAGAATACGGACTCAGTCCTCTGGCAAAACTAGAGAACGATGGGGTTGATGAAAGGTCAGCGCAAAGTCTGGCGCGCGCAAGAGCCAACGCCCAGCTAAATGCAGGGGGCGCATACGGCCCCCTAAACGGGCAGGGATATGGGAACTCTGTGGCGCAAGCTCTTGCTGACACAAACGTGAATCCATTTGCAACAAACCTGTACGGACCGCTGTCCGGGTATGGCTCGAGTCAAGCGCAATCTCAAGCCCAAACTCAATCCTTGGGCCTAGCTCAAGCACAAGCGCAGGCACAATCGCTAGCAAATGCGCAGTTGAATCACGGCGGCGGTCTCATGGATTTTTATAGTCCTGGCTCTGTCTTGAGTGATACTCAGGCAAATTCTTTGGCAAATGCCTACGGAGGATCGTCACAAGCGGAGGCGCAAGCTTTAGCTCAAGCTCTAAGCCAAGGAGGCGGAGGCTTACTAACACCTCACCCCGGTTATGTTGATTCAGGTTTGGCTGCAGCAAATGCGCTCGCCCACTCTATGGGTGGTGGTGGTCAAGGATACAGTACGGCAGAGGCACTCGCTCAAGCTCTGTCGAATGTGCAGTCGCAACCTCGCTTGAATGATTACCCTAGTGGGGCCGTGAGTTCCGCGGAAGCTAGCGCTTTGGCCCAGGCTCTGGGGGGCGGTTCACGGGGCATACCAGGCTACGGCGCAGGTGGAGCACAATCTCAAGCGCAGGCACAGGCGCAGGCACAAACTGTTGGGTTGGGCCAAGCGCGTAGTTTTGCCGACGCTCTGGCGAACTCACAAGCATTAGGAGGTGTGTTGATACAATTTGTTTTTATAATGGTTTAAAAAAACATAGAAATGAAAATTAATAATAAAATATGACTATTAAGTAAATTATGTAATTTCGCAGGAGCGTACGGTTCTTCTTACGCAAACGCTTTTGCAGGTAAATATTTTAAATAGCTATTTTAGTATAAACATTATTTTAATGTGGAAATATACGGTACGTTATTTATATATTTTTATCGCCATTAATTTTCGCTGATATTTGTAACAGATGCTAGAACCAGAGTGATCCCGTACCATGAATATGTGCTGCCTTACGATATACCAGGTCAGTTAAAAAAAAGCATTAATTTGCCTTACCATTTTGTTTCGAAATATAGAAAATACCAAAATCTTCAACTTCAACTTCACGATTACAAATTTTTTTGTAGAATTAAGAATTAAAGTGTATGTATGTAGGAGGTCAAGACATAGTGAGGTGTACAAGAGAGGGGGAGCTCCACAACTTGTGGACGTCGAGGTTCGAGTGCATGGTGTGCGCGTGTATCAACCGCAACGGTTACCTGACGCCCGTGTGCGCCAGCTGCGCCGGCTGCCTGCACCCTTACAACCCCGTGCCACCGCAACCCATTCCACCCTCGCCTGAGCCTATACCTCTACCCATACCGCTGCCGAGACCTCAGCCTCAAGGTATTGACATTCAAACATTAAGTACAATTAACGCTTATGAATAATTGTCAGAAATATTGATGAAGAAAAATTTCAGATGGTATGAACTCCACTTTATGTAGTCATCAGCAAGTCTGATCTTCATAGTCACTACCGATTCATTGTCAAGTTGTCATGTTTGTGTTCTTAAATAATATAAAACAAAGTCAGCATTGTGACTGATATTTCAGTATCATGCTACCCTTTGCCGACGGAGACGCCATTCGAGAACCCCTTGAACCCGTGTCAGATCTGCGTGTGCCACTTGACACTGGATGTGTACGGGCAGCGTGATGTGCAGATCGCCTGTCAGGAAAACCCCGAGTGCTGTGAGTGTTTGCACATATACTCTTACAACATTTGCTCTCTCCACGCCTGTTTATACGAGACACGCAAAAATTATATGTTCATTGTCTATTTTACAAATAGAATGTGTTTGCATTACTAGATTCTTAAGTTTTCAGTAAACAGCGTAAGTATATCTCGATTGATGTTAACTTTTCGAGTAACATTTGCACCTGTTACTGAAGAATCATTTATGCCTTTTATAAAGTTTATTTTTTTCACTTACAGCGATTACAGACATAATTGTACCGATACGTAAGTGTTGATGTTTACAGATTGTGACATTTGTCTTAAAATCTCACTAACGTTTTTATTTTATGAGCAAGTTTTTTGTTTATAGCGTCAAGACTTTTACCGCCAGTACCGATTCCTAGTAAGTAACCTAGTAATTGTAAACTATGTTATTTTAACCGAAAACGTTAATTTTACGTAGCTTTAAGGAAAGGTCTGCAAGTTAAAAAAGTTACAAAACTAAAGTATTGTTGGTTGCAACATTTTTAAAGATAATTTCGTCTAAGATTCGAACTACAAACGCTTAGTTTGATTTCGGGACAAACGACCACTGAGCTAAAAGTGAAAGCTCAAAATTGGCAACGTCCTATTCCCACTAGGAGGCGCACTTCGCAGCTTAACGGCAGGTCAGCTACTTTTATAATAATAACGTCATTCAGTTACTGACAGATAAAATGTCAAATTCTTGGTAACTACTGCAGATTTAAAAAGAAACTCTCTTGAGTTATTCTAACTTGAGGGAGAGCACTTCGAATATTTTGAAACCTATCAAAGCCGAAATATAACTCAATATATCTAAAACTGCATGGATTTTGTGCACCATAGCGTGAGACATGTGGTACGTCACCGCGTTGTGTCCACAGTGCCGCAGTGCGAGCGGTTCCCGACTGACGTCTTCTTCCCCCACCCCCACGATATCTGCTCCCAGTGCATGTGCATTGTCGACTTGGCGACGCGCGCGCCTCACATTGTCTGTAGTCCTAGACAAAACTGCGGTAAGTCCATTTACATTTAAACTAAGGCTCCTAAACAATTCCGACTAGATGTGTTACTCGCAGACAAATTACTCAAGGTAAGAAACTAAGTATTTTTGAAGGAAAAGTTAACACATTGAGATATATCGACGTTGTTTAAAAGCATAAGCTGTAATAACTTAGGATGTTTTAAGGAATAATTCGCAAGTCGCTTACGACACATAAAAAATATATTTTTGTTAGATGTGCCACTACCGCCGCAGCCGCCTTTTAACCCGCCAGTGCCGGTCCCGCCGCGCCCCCCCGGTCCCCTGCCAGGACCAACACCACGTGAGAACTTACTTAACATCTTTTACTTAACTTTAGCATAATCGTTGATGAACGATATTTAATAAGCAACCAACTAAAATAGCTCGTAAGAAGTTTCCTTAATATCAACTTCACTCTCATACTGGAATAGAATAGTGTAATGGCAATAAGAGATTTGAATAGGATTTTCAAGCGGGACGTTTGCATGTTAAATTTCATTGCGCTGCGAAACGAAGTCTGTAATATAATCATTTGCAGATCTCTTGCAGCCCGAGTAATGTTCCGGCCACTCTGACCGCGGCGTTACGAGCCGACGCGACGCTAACGACACTATGGAACATTCCCTACGTTGCCATAAAGCCATCTAATGTTTATTTTATTTTCATTCATTTCATATCTAAATATGCGCTTTTATCATAATAATAAATTAAATTATAATATCTAACGAAATAGGCAGCCTTAGAACACGGACTTGGAGTAACGTTAGTTGTTTTCAAACATGGTAATGATGCAAATTAAAAACGATTCCAAAACGCACTCAGGCACTTGACGCTAAGGGTCTCTTAGTGAATATTGTAAGCTAAGGAATTGCTTATAATTATTATTTTAAGAGAATGTGGTCGACATATGTATATACGTCTCCGTATCTATAAAATTACTCAAAGAGCAGAATCAATGTTTGCAGACACGTCATGCCGACCGTACATCCCCAACCAGCCATTCGGTCACCCGTGGGACGAGTGCCAGGAGTGCGTCTGCAGCGAGCTATACACCCAGGGCGTCATCAACATCGAGGTCAGCTGCTACACCAAAAAATCCTGTTGTAAGTGTAGTGCACAATTTTAGACAAAGTTTTTACGATCAGTTAAAAAATACGATTGCCAATTTTAACCTAAAGTAATCTTTGTTTATCTAAATCAATATGTAGCCTTTGACAAAGTATGTACTTGATGATATTTTAAATGGTAGGTATCGAAGTGCCTGAGCAGCCGCCTTACATATTGCCATCGCCAGGTAATTACATTTGAAATCATTTGAATTTTTACAATTTACATGTTATGATTATCCGTAACCAACGTAGAAAACCGAAAGAAAATTAAAATATTACGATCCCCGAATGACAGCTTTGATATTGACAACAGCCAGGTGGCGGTGAATCGTCGCAGGTGTCGTAACCGAAACAAAGCTAATTCGGCAACGAGTTTTGCATGTCGTATTTCTAACGACCGTGAATACGCTTTTTCGGAGAATGTCCTTTTCAATCAAACGGCGGTCGATACAAAAGGGGTGAAAAACCCCTCCAATAAATGTTGAAATGAAACCGTCTGTCTGTCTGTCAACTATTATTTCCCCGGAGTGAATGTTCCAACTCTAGTAGATTTAACGACAGAATAACAATAAATAACATATACTGTTTTAATTTCAGAGCCTCACGAAAACGTTGTGTACATCGGTATGTAATATTGAAATGTTCTCGTTGTATTTTAAATATTGTCATCAGAGTTATTAAGGTATAACTTAAATCACTCGTGAATTTAACTTAAAAGTCCTTACATTATTATATTCGATATGGGAAATTCATAATCATTTGGCGAGGAAATAACGCTACTATACAATTAACATATGCTTCTTTGCAACTGAATTGTTCGCTGCAGAGCCTCGCTGCCGCTACAAGCCGCCGCTACAGCCCTTCGTCGCCGAATGTAACATATGCACCTGCATAACGGTCTACAACTACGTCATCGCCAAGTGCGACAGACAACCCGGCTGCGGTAATATATGCTTACTTGTCCTTGACAACGTTATGAATACAACATCAAGTAGAGTGAATGAAACTAAGTGTTTTTTTTCCCTTAGGTGTTGGCCCTCTTTATCTTGGAGGACTTTATGGTGATGCCGGCGCATACTCAAATGCCCAAGTGAACCAACTTCTGCCACAAAACTATTATCCTACTTCCCCTCTTATTGGAAATGCGTATTCGACAGCCGCTGCCGAGGCATATGCACATGGCAATGTACAAAGCCTGCCGTATGGTCAAAACCCAGTAGGATCTACATATCGACCAGGATACGGCTCGGTACCTGGGCCTTTATTGGTTGACGGTGAACTGGGTCCGGGTCCAGGCTACCTAACTCCTGCAGCTTTGGCGGAAGCGGCCGCTCACTCAAACGCTGGGTACAATCAAGGACTCGGCTCATTGTCTTCGGCTCAGGCTAACGCGTTATCTAATGCGGGTTTACATCCATTACGATCTTATCCAAGTCTTAGTCCTGGATATCAATCAGGTGCGGTAGCCGACGCTTACTCGAGTGGGAGTACAGCAAATTCAGAAGCTTTAGCAAACGCTTTAGCCAATATTAACTTAGGATCTGGTGGATACGGGTCGAGTTCATCGTTAGCAAATGCTAATTCAGGATATCAATTATATCCTGGATCCGGATCTGGTTTATCCGCATTATCGGAGGCAGAAGCTGTTGCTAACGCTAATTTAGGATATAACGCATATCTTCCTGGATATCAAACTGGGTCTTTATCATCGGCTGAGGCCGAGGCGATAGCCAACGCTAACTCTGGACTCTACTCGGGAGTTCCCAGTAAAGCTTATGGCTCTGCCGCGTCTGAAGCACATTCCAATGTCAATTCCTATCCATTTGCTGGTCAATCTTCTTATCCTTACACTGCCGGCCAGTCAGGTGCCAGTGCAGAAGCTGAGGCACTAGCGAACTCCAATTTATATTCTGGATACGGTCCCCAAATGAACCCGATGTATGGACCCGGAATAGGAGGTTCCAGTAACGCTCAGGCACAGGCACAGGCACAGGCACAGGCTTTAGCTAATGCTGCTCTGGGTCAAGCAAGTGAGTCTTTTTATTTATAAGCTATTATAAAATTAAATCTAATAATCTCGATAGTCTTAATATATGTATGTACTGGTTTAAAAAAGAATAACACGTCGCCTTTATTGATTAACGTAGAGATATTTTGTATAACTTTAAAAGAGATAGTGTCAGCTGTTCGAGAGTCTTAGTTATTATTGTTGACTTTATCAATCCATTGTCAATATATGATGTAATATATGCGTAAATTCAACTTGTAAATATGTACATATATGGACGTGGAAAAATAAATATTTTAATTTTGTAGATGCCCAAAGCCTGAGCCAGGCATCAGCGTTGGCGGGGCGTCCTTTAATAAAATCCGGTAAGCAAAAAATATTTTATCCTATGAATTATTAAGAACTTCCCTTTAAGACGTCGAGCAATATTGAGTTTGAGGTACGCAAAGACTATTTCGTCTAAAGTAAGTTTTAAACTTGACAAGTATACGCAGTAATACCCTCGTGGCTACTGAAAAAATTGTTTTATAATTTAAAAATATATTACAGGGTCACATGACAGATCTCATGTAAATTTCATCTAATCAAAACTCAAAGTCCCCCCGGCTGGACCGGTACTTATTGAATCTTTTCGCAACGAACCCTTCTAACAGAAATCAAATCCTGTCAGCGAGGCTCGGTAGCACATATTTTCGTGCGGTCCCACTGGACAACGCAGTGTTGCCTAAAACAGAATATGTACCTACTCTAGTAGGTCAACATGTCACATGTTCACATCAGAAAAGAGAATATTCACACACTTTCACATAAATACGGAACAAAATAAAAGAATTTTATTACTGATAAACTAAAAGCCATAGATAAGATTTGAGTATGGCCTTTGAATTGTATGTATTATTTAAATTATCTCTACGGACTACGATTGAGGCGAAACGCTTGTTATGTTTTGGTCTACGATTTCGTAGGACGCGGTCAGTGCAAGTACTTCGGTGACAAGTACCATCACAGTTGTCAGGCTTGTTACTGCCTGCCCGACGAAGATGGCAGCCTCGTCGCCTTCTGTTTGGGCACTCCTTGCGCGTGACAAGTCAGCACTTTGATTCCAGTCCAGCCCTTTACTATTTCAACCGATTTTCACTACTTTCTTTAAAGTTCTGTCTACCATCTATTTGCTCCTTCCGTGTCTTAAAAATGGCATAATCAATTGATCAATTTATAGTTGAATTCTAAACTCCCCGATATAAAGGCAGAAAAAATGAACAAATATAAGGTCGTTTAAAAGAAACCGATTATCTAGTTTACAAATAATGTTTTTAGAAGGTGTCATCAGATTCGCAACAACAACTTGGTCTTTTTAACTCTTTATATTTTCATTAACAATATACTTCTTAATAATCTATTAATATTAACAAAAACTTGGTACAATAAAGTGATATATCTTGTTCCAGCTGACCGTGAAGATGAAAGTGACGATTATGTAGTATAAAGGACGCACCACAAATAGAGAAACTCTACGGCAAGGACAACGGAACTTTGTTATATTTTAATTTAGTGTGATGAGCAAAGACAAGGCATGCTTCATAGGGCAGATTATATTTACAAATAAATTATTAGGCACGAACTAACTCTTTTAATTTATCACTATTGTTAGAAATAACATCACGAGGCGGATGCTATTTAAAATATGTGCTCTCTTATTTTCTAAGATCATTAACTTTATGACCAAAGAAAGTGCTTTAAACTTATATTTACTATACTATTTTGATTTCCCAGTAATGGTGAACTTATTTTTATTACTTTGTACCTAATCATTTTATTATAATATAATTCCGTGCACAATTATTACATTTATCGAAATAATCATTTGAAGCGAAAAATTCATTATAATCGTCCTAAATTGCTACAAGAACCCGGAATAAATTAAAATGGAAGGTTAATTTCACCTCAAGCATGTAATCAAATGACTCCACGAAGTCGAGGGACCAGAGGTGAAGTGGGGGGGGGGCTATTCATTTACAAATTTTTCAGGTATTTTGTAATATTTAATCCATGCTTCAAATATAATTTTTTTTATTATTTAGCAAACAGGATATTTTTGCTCATTAAAAACAACAATTGCCATTATAATTTAAATAATGGCATTTTTTGCAAAAGTAGGAACGACCTCGAAAACTTTAAAAGCTTGTTCGACACAAAACGGACGCACCGCCGCCGCCATTGTGTACGGCGGCGGGTGAGATATTTCTATTTCCGAAGAACGGAGACCGTAAACATCTATTTAAGATTTATTGCAAGAAAATGTCGACCGGCACTTTTACAACACAATAACCATTAAACTCATATCGCTGCCTTTTTATATCGCTGCCGGCTGCAGCGCAGGCAGCGGGCGCGGACGCGGGCACGGGCGGGAGGCGGGCGCGGACCACGGGACGGGGGAAGGATGCCGTGTGAACTCGTCACGAATTTTCATCGAATATAATCATGATCTGTATCTCTCTTGTACTGATTTTTGTAGCCAACTGTGAGTACCTTGACAACTCCTCGTTCTTTCTGAAAAATTTTATCTTACAGATGAATATGATTGAAGAAGTTACTTGAGATTTCTGACACAACAATAACACGGCAAGCTGCCCTTTTAAATAATCTTATCGATCAATATACGCTCAGTGTCGATGTGCAAGAGGCGCGGCATCACCCCGCACAGCATGTCTCAGGAGGAGTACCCGCTTGAAGAGGCTCAGTTCGGTGACGCACAGCACCGCGGCCCCGCCTGGTACGACTACCACAGCTCCCGTGATTCCGAGGAGCGGAACAGTAGCAGCAGCAGCAGGTAGCAAAAATGTTGTCTAAATCTCCGATGATAAGGACTTGTGCCGTCTAAGGTATAAAGATTGTTGTAATATTAAATTACTTTTTAGTTCAATCTCTTCGAGTTCGCGCAGAGGAAGTGATTCAGCGAGCGGATCGTCGAAAGAAACTAGAGAAGAGAAAATAGCGTGAGCAAACAATATGTCAATTGTTTTATTGTCAAAAGTATCACCAAAGTTTACCTGGTTATTGGTGATACATGACAACATCATATTATATAATAGTATTCCAGTTGACATATAACTGTGTGTTTGCAGAAACCGCGCCTACCGCACCTGCACGCCGTGTCCGCACGACATGCTCAAGAAGCACACGAACGTGGGCATCAAGTGGATCTGCGCGGGCTACCAGCGCGCCCGGCGCACCTTCAAGAGCGAGTGCATGATGCGTTTTCGGAACTGCCAGGACGGCACGCGTACGTGTGTAACGTATACAACACATATTAATCCGCAGACTACGTTATGATTAAGTACTTATAAGTACTTCTAACCCTATATCTAACATCCTAGATATAATGAATTAATACTCTTGACTTATCCTCCTTCCTCATCATTTCAGTGAAACTTCCTCAAAGTAGATTATCATCAGATCATCAGATCATATGTTAGATATTACGATTACGATGTTGATAGAATTTAGATGTCCAAATGTCGTGTTTTCAATATAACTAATTACTGAGTGTGAACGTCTATTGCAGTTTTCGTCAAGGTGGCGGACCGACGCTGCAAGAACGACTCCTACCACGGCCGCCATTGGTTCTACATATACCAAGTTTAGCCTTTCACTGTAAAATAAAATATTATTTACTTTTTGTAACTAGTTGTTTTTATTGATTTGTATTTATACATGTGTGTGGTATTACTAAGGTTGACAATTTTCGCACCGTTTGCATAAATGATTCAAGTGGATTGCACAAAGTTAAAATATAAATCCAGCCAACTAATATATCATTAGAGAGCAATAAAAATAATATAAACACGCATGTAATAAATGCCTCGTAGCATAAGATACAAACAGTATCAAATTAAATTACACCCAAACGTAATGCAGTGGACGAGATGCGATAAATAAAACATGGGGCGTTCAAATCGTGAGGCGATCTATTTCCCGCAGGAAGGCGCACGAGGGCGCACGAGGGAATACTAAGTGTTATTAGGAGGAGGACATTAACGAGAGTTGTATCGTCGGTCTGTTTATTACAAGCAATGTGATTCTCACATGTAATTATTTGTGTACAATTACTATTAACATCACTTTGACCATAACATTTAGTATTTCTTTTCCTGAAGCCATGCAAACAATTTCTAAGATTGACACAATTAACTGCTAAATTTATAGGGGAACATCTAGTGAGTTTTAAAACAACATAAAATAAATAACAACGTTTAAAGACAAGAACCTTCTATTACACTTATAACGTTTAGTAATTACCAACTGTCGTCTTCTCATTTAATCAAATATACAAAACATTGAACTACGGCATTAAAAAGAGTTTTAATAATATTCAAATATAAACAAAAGATATAGAAGAAAAAGTCCAAAGTAGATAACCATAAAAATGTACACGTACTGTGAATTGATTGTGAATAAAGCAAAGAGTAATAGTAAAGTTTCGTAAATTCATAAAATTGAAACAGCGATAAAGTCGTGCGCTGCTGAGATTTACGATTTCCTATCAGATATAGCACAAGTTGAACGAAATGAAATGAGCGGTGGTGTGCGAGCGCCGCGGCCATGGCTCGCCGGTTCACCATTCGGATCATTGTAATCGTCGCACTGGGTAAGTCAAAAGAACAAAACAGAACATTGTTTGATTAAAGTTATACCCATTACTATATAATAGAGTAGAGATAAATTTTTTGATTCATTCTTACAGACGTGGATGAATTAGGCTAAAATTAAATTTGTTTTATGACTGTCTGTGCTATCTTGTAAAAGTAGTTTACCAATAATCAAACAAGCATTTTAACTGTAGCGATGTAAAATTTACTAAAATCAAGTTTTATTTCCAGCAAACGTAACATTATCACTAGTAGAGAAATCGGAAAACAAGACGACCGAGCAGAAGATGGCGACGGTGCAGGCGCGGCGGCAGCGCTTGAAGACCAAAAAACCAAAATCCACCTCCTCCTCGGGATCTCGACAACGTTAGCAATTAACTGTTATTTAAAAGAATATGACTAATCATTTTCACTACCCATTCAGTGACACAGAAATATAAGCTAACGCTGTATGTTCAGTGACTTCCGGCGAACAGTCTGCGGAGAGCATGGACCTCACGGAGTCAGGTGATGCGAGCGACGTGTTTGCTATAAAGAAAGATAGCTTTACCGATGCTGAGAAACGTGGCTGGTAAGACAATAATGAGATTTGTATTCTATGATGTTATACAAAATACTTACAATCGTTTGACAATTAGGAAGAAGTATCACCGCGAATGTCACATATGCACTGAAGACATGATAAAAAAGTGGCGCGACCCAACCATCCAATGGATTTGTGGCGCGTACCAGCGCGCGCGCAGGAGCTTCAAGAGCGCCTGCATGATGTACTACAGAAACTGCCAAGACGGGACCAGTAAATAAACCTTTGTATTTATACACACGATAACACGACGACCACATAACAATAGACTTAGCCTTTGATAATCTTTTATGTACTAAGATTAGCAAATATGCTTCGTTACAAGGTATACTTGTAAATTTCTAAACATAATTCTGCAGTGTTTGTGGAGATCTACAAAGGTAAATGCAAAGACGACCTGCCGGGAGATCCGCGGCCGCACGGGGACCACTTCTTCTACGAGTACCGCGTCGTGTTGACGGAGGAGAGCGGCACCAGTCTCTCCTCGGTCGAGCCCGACGACACCTACTGACATCATTTCATGCTCGCTCTGTGAAATAAAAACCCATGCTGTTTTTTGTTTTATTGATTGTTTTATTCTTTCTACTATGATCTCACATTAGCTTACCTATAACAATTCTTACACGTCGATAAATACTGAAATCCTTTTAAAAACTTTTCTTGTCATCTTTTATATGTATGCCATTTGGAATACATATGGATATTTAGCTACAGTAGCTAATCAAATAGCTAAGATTGGGGAATCAAGGCATCATTATTAAGCGCGACAGCTCCGACATTCAATGTACCGCATTTTATCTACGTCGCCCATAAATCCACAACTCGTCACGACTCCATTAATCGTATGGGAGCAAGTAATTTGTCATAGACGTACAGACAGTCTGCGGATACAATGCGACGCTAAGTGCGCGCTGGAAGCCGCGGTACTCCCTGCACTGTATCTCGACCCTGTTGCAGTGAAATATAGTTCATTTTTCTTTGTTAAAACATTCTTTTACGCTTGCAAAGTGGAAAATCAAGACAGATGTAATATTACCGTTATAGTGAACCTTCCACGTTGGGAATAAGGATTGAATTCTTTAAGCTAGTTCCGCGGAAGCAAATGGTGTGGTAATGGTGCTGCTGAAAGAGTTTAAAGGCTCCGTCGTTGCATTACTTTGTTTTCGCATCGGCGGCGGCAGCGGAGGCGGCGGCGGAGGAGGAGGAACGCTTACACACGCCGATAATCCAGTTACGTGCGAAAACGTTTCACTCACATCACACGTCACACTGACGGCTCGTGGGGAGGTGAGGCGGGGGCGGGGGCAGCGGGGAAGGGCGGCAAGGAGGCAATGGAGGCTTTTAAGTAATTAATGTACGCTGTTTTTACATTTCACTAACGTCTTAATTTTAATTGTCAAGTTTTGTTGTTTTATTTTTATTCAAGAATACGTAAAAACGAAAATGTTTTAAGAAACACTTGAAAAAAAAGTACTCCTAAATAAAAATAAAGCAGCTAATGCTCAATCTATTTAGAAAAGTACAAAGTAATAAGTTAATAATTGTTTGTTCACAGTGTGAACACAGGTTACATGTAATATTGTGTAAATA